TTTAGAGAGGGTGGGTTTCCCCATGCACTTAGACCTGTAGTGATCCATTGTGCTTCCCTCTATGATTTCTACCAGTCTCTATATCCTACCGGTATTGGTGCTTACCATCAGTCCCGCCGAGCAAGCGAGTTCGGCCACTTGCGTAGTGGTGTCTATAATGCTTCCCCCATCTATCAGAGGGCTTAGAGACTATTGTTGGGCGGGAAACGTCCTGGAATTTGGCTCAGTGATCCCCTTTGGGGATATGAGGTTCTTTTACATGCCGTAAAGTTGCAACACAGGACACACAGCTTAAAGTCCCTCCCAGAGGACTTGTTCCCTGAATTTTTCCGCCCTTAAAAATTTGACGACCTCCACCGGGTATTTGAACCCGCATACTACGAGTCATGAGGTGGGAACGTTACCTCTAGACTACAGAGGCCGCTTAATCAGAAGAGGTAACAAAAGAATTAAGAAAATTACATAATGAGGAACTTCACAGTTTCTGCACTTACCTAATATTGCCCGAGTGTTTATATCAGGAAAAATGAAATGGACAGAGCATGTATAGAAGAAACAAGAAGTATGTACAAAATTTTGGTTTTAAATTTTCAAGGGAACACTAAAGGAGTATGTAGAAGGGGAATATTAAAATTAATCTCAGTAAGATGAATTTTGATGATATATACTGGATTAAAGTGGCATAGGCTCAGTATAGGGATTTTACTGTAATGGAGATGAACATCAATTTTCCACACCAGTAGCAAATTTCTTGGTTATGCTGAAGAAATACTCGTACACTGTACCATACACTGAGTAAGTAGGAGAGTTTGGGTATGCAGAGCTCTAGTATTAAGATCATGCTACATTGTGTATCTTTTTACTGTAAAGTTGAATTTACTAATTTGAATTTGTAGAAGTATAGTTTGATTTGTTGAGGGCAGTGGGGGTGAGAGATGCCTTTTGGTGTGGCATGTCTTCATATTCATGCTGTCAACAGCAGTCTGTGATTCATTGCTTTGTTTATAACACTCTCAGACCCAAGTAATCAGAACTCAGTACTTCTCAGGTAGTGTTCAGTACCTGGACAACAAAAATATGAAGGTGAATATAAATGAAAATTACTTTCAGTTTTAATTTTCTTCTGTAGCTTATACATTTTATGGCAGATATGAACATTAAAAACTATTGTAATACATAAAGCATGTGTTCATGCCATATGCAGTTTGGCCCCCTCTGTATTAGGGTGTGATGTAATGTCTTGACTTGTGTAGCAGTATGTTCAGGGTTTAAAAGGGATAAATGAAGCTTATATGTTATCCATACTTGGATATGCAGGTGGATCTCCTGTCTAAAGAGGAAAAAGTATAAGGTAAATTAATCCCATTATTTTCCAAACATTCATGGTTTGCGTAGTATTTGTTTGTGTCATCATATAAAACAAATTTTCTTGTTAGATGCTTGACTAGATAGTTTTATACAGGTATTTTGAATGTGTTGGTCTTATACTTTATTTTTGTTCTGGTCCTTTCCATGGCTTCTTTTAAGCTTCATTAAGCATTTTATTACAGTAAAGCCTGCTTACACTGAAATCTTAAAGTATTTGCACATTTATCTCTTTAACACAGTTACTTCTAGATGAAGAATGGTTACATTGTGTACCCCATTTATTTTTCAAATTACAAGACTGAAATTCATGCTGTACTTTTGTCTCAGTCATCTTTGAGGGTATTGTCATCTCTTGAGTAACCAGCTTTGTGGAAAAGAAGCTCTTTGTGTTCAGTGAGGTCTTTGGTATGGTAATTTGGTAATTTGTTTCTCATCACATGTCAGAAGTAGCATCTAGTAACTTTCTCATGATTTAATGGTCTTACTGTGTGGCCGTGATTCAACTTCAAAGATGTTTTAGACAGAGAATACATATGTACACTACAGTGATAATGAACAGTACATGTTTTCAGTGATGTTATTTCTCTCCCTCAAACCCCCTACCTCCCTTTCCAGCTGTCCATCATAGTATTCTTCACATATTTTGTTGTTTGTTAAGTTTAAATTTTACTATATGTGGCTGGAATAATTATTCTCAAACATATTCCAGAAAGCAGAGTTGGAAACAAAAATATGTGAACAGTTAACAACAATAAGTATTCAAGCAGATTATTTTCATTATAGTCTTCTTTTCCATTTCATTGTTAAGTAGTTAATATTTATTAGAGAAAGTTGTATTCTATATTCTTGGGACCAGGGAAATGTTCTAATAAAGACCAATTTCTCTTTAGTGTGGGTTCCATTTTAAATAGGTTTCACTGTATAAGAAATATTTAAGGCAATGCATTTCTGACCTCCATATAATGATTTAAACTTCTAGGTGATCATCTCTTTATTTTCATTCTTGTATAAATGAATGTATACTGAGTATACATGGAAATGTGAGTTGTTTTCTTAGAAGTGCCATTTTATATATTAAATTATAATAGCATTAATAAGTATGTGGTAAGATTGTGCCATTTTCAGAGATTGTGTTTATGCAGTTTTGAAGGTTCCACATTTGCTAATTGTTGATAAGTTTGTTAAAGTCTGATATGTTTAAGAATAAACTGGAAGTCAGAACAATGTTGAATAATCTTTATATTTTATATTGCATTGCATAATCACTTGCAGTTATTCGGAGTTTATATACCCTGTAGGTGTTCTCTAATGAGCAAATGTAAGAGAATCTTTTTTGTATATAGCTTGTCATGAAGTTTGTGTAATTATGTTTGAATTTCTTAAAATTTCTCTGCAATTAATATGAATGTGCATTCTTGGTGCATTACCAGTAAAGTGCAATACTGCTTACTAATTATTTCATACATTTCACTTACATGTACAGATATATTTTGATTTGTTCAGTTTTCATAAATAAATTTCACTAAAGAATGTTGATATTTATGGGAGATGTGTGTTTGAATTAAGATGTGGGATATGCAGCTTGGATGGAGGAAGTAGAAATGCTGAGAAATATTTATTTTAAGACCTTCTGGCAAGATATCATCCAGAAGACTTGCTTAGTTATGAGAGGATAATATTAAAATGGACCATGAGATATGAATTGATATATGCTAAATTGAGTGAATTTTAAGGTGTTTAGTAGTGTACATTTGTAATGACAGCAGGACCTTCAAGTTTTGTAACGGATTTTCTTGATCAATTATACAGCTTTTTTTTTTGTGCATCCTTTTGTGTTATTGTATACAATTCTGTTGAGAGTCTGTCACAACACCACAATACAATGGTTAAGGCTAAAATTAGCTTAGCTAGTACTCTAATAAAAAATGATAAATTATACAGCTGTCACTGCTCAAGAAAAATACAGTATTGCGTTGCCGAATAGTGAAGGCTTTAAATCATAGATGGAAAGTGGCAGCAGAGGTGAAACCATGATGGAATCCAGAAACATACACCCCATGCCTTACATATGTTCCTCTGTACTTAAAATGCGCAAATATAGATTCATTTTAAAATGTGGGCTCAGTGAAACTGCAGATCCAGAAGCCAGTTGGTGAATACTTCAGCTACTGAGATGTATGCAGCTGGTTAGGTCATTTTTCATATACTTCTAAGTTTTGTGTAAATTTTTATGGTGGTACAGATAGGTGTTGGAAAGCCTGAAGGAAGGAATATTTAGAAGACTTGGATGTAAATCAGTGTATAATATTGAAGTACATTGTAGAGGAATGTGTACTTGTGTGGGAGTGATCCATCTAACATAAGGTGGGGTTCACTGACGGGATATTCAGATCACGGGAGAATAGTGATTTAACGGTAAATCCTTATTACCATCAATTGATATAGCTTTAACAATCGCGAGGGTAAGACGGTATGATGAGCAAAATCGTTTCGAGACATTTAGTGATCCATGGCAGGATAGACAGGATAATTCTCTTAGGAGGAGCCCTGACCTTCACTGGGGTGAAATGAACTAGTCAAGACGGGTCGGAACTTTGGCACATCTAGGGAGAGGGGCAGCAGACAGGAGTGCAATTGTGAACTGTGCAGTAGTAGTAGTAATCCTGCTAGTTATGTCTCTCTCATCCGAGATTCCTGCTTTCTGATATAGCTGTACCAGCCAATTTGAGTTGCTATTTGATATACCTTTACTAGCCAATTTACAGTATCCCATGCGAGTGCTGCAAGGTCTATATTGGGCAGATGGGCCGCTCCGTGGAAATGAGGTTGAAGGAGCATCAGCGGCACGTCCGGACAAGTCAGCTGTAGCTGAACACAGCATCGATTTGGGACACCACATTCATCTTCAGAATACCTCAGTCCTCGCCACCAAGACCTGATAAATGGATCGCATCATTAAGGAAGCCATTCAGATTGAACTCCATCCCGACAGTATGAACAAAGAGGAGGGGTTTTGTCTCAGCAANCCTGTCCTCTCATATAACCGAGTTTATTTCCAACATTTAGTCTGCTTCCATCTGTTCTCACTGTCTCGTCGCTTGCGGATTTTCTTATTTTTCCTTCTACCCTGAAGATGGAGGCGATACGTTCTTTCGAAACGTCGGTTAACGCCACATCCCAGAAGACTGCTTTCTTCAATTTAATAGAGTTTGATATATCTAATCTGTGCTAAAATATGGACGTATAAGATTAAAATCAGAGTAAGCATATAACACTAGTTTCCACACTTTTCCTTTGGGTTCAATTACAGAGGGTGTTGCCATTTGTCACATGATATTCAACAGAATGAGCGAGAAGAGCGAGAATGAGCTCCACGTGAATCACTAACTTGGTTGCGGATGAGCTCTGATGGGATGGGCTGCTGAAATTCTCGTGTACATGATTCGTAATGCACTGCACAGGCGGTCACTTTCCACTTGTTTATTGCGGGAGTTTTGTAGACAGTCTGATAGAAATATATGCGTACGCCATTCTGTACCGTGCCATGGGTTCCTTCCCACATGTTGCTGAGTACTTCTCTGACAAACAAATGACTACAATGGAGAATCTGTGATTCATGCTGAAATGTATGTCATGCGTATCGCTACGTACAAGTGTGCTATGGACAGTTTCAAGTCGCATACGTATATGACTGAAGTCTGAGCTTTGGTTAATACAATGCACTGTATTAAAATAAATATTGGTTCTGTCGTATTTATAATATTAATTACCTTTTTGAATGTAGTGAATCAGTCTAACTCAAGTAAGCTGTATTAATGTTTCTTTAGGAAAAAGTGTGGCATCATAATTGCATGACTTTAAGGGTGCTGTATATATTTGTTGTAAGATACGTAAGTTAAGTTAGGAAGGCCCATATTCGTGTAGATAAATGCAAAGTTCTGTCTTCTAAGATGTCGGACCGTTTAGCCGAGGTTATACGGTGATATATCCCATTCATTGCCACCGCTGTGCGAACTTCAGACCCATCAAACTTCATAAGTATTGTGACTTCTGAATTTGAGGTTCAATTACAGTTTGTAGACGTACCAAATGAATTTCATGGAGTAGAGTTCTACTTAAGGAGATTTGAGAACCTCTTGGTTAGTGTGATTATGATAGGCCAGTAATTTTAAATAATCCTTGAATCAGAGCTAGGTACATGTACTGAGTGTATTATAACATTATTTCATGACTGTTCTCCTAAAGCTCTGTGCATACTCTTTAATTTTCGAGATTTTGAGTGCATTTAAATGGTCACCATAAATATCCATGCCACATGAGACTTTCATTGGTTATAAATTTTATTTCTTACATTTTTCAGTTTGAATTTTCATTATTTGTTATGTTGTTCTTTGTTGAGTGTAAGAGCTATGGAGTGTGCACATTCATGTAGTGCTTTAAGGTTTGCATGTGAACTTAATCTCACTCCCTGGATGTGGCTTTGTACCATGAACTATCGTAAGTCAATAGTGTGTTTGACACAATATGCAAAATAGTGGGTTTGCTGTAATTGCTTTATAGTTTTGGTCTGTACTTTCAGGTGATAATGATGGTTTAAAAAGTTCAACTTATGATTTATCACAGAAGCACAGCAATGTAAGTGATTTAAGTCACTGTTATAGTTTTTGCTGAAAGTATTTTCATATTCCACATTACATCAAATATTTATTAAATAATAAATATTGTTTTAACTATTGGTTTAGAAACCTTGCTTTTATTAGATAACATTTTTTTGTTTCATCATAAAAGAATGGAACACAAATATATGTTTTAAACCTGTTGAAATTGATACACTTTACAGGGAGAACATATGTTGTTTTTATTTGGGAATAGGATGGAAAGGAAGGAGAGGGGAAGTAATGGGAGACTGGAAAAAATTGCATAAGGAACAGCTTCATAATTTACACTTTTAATCGCATGTTAATAGGCTGTTGAAATCCAGGAGGATGAAGTGGGTTGTGCTTCCAACATGCATAAGAGTGATGAGAATGTGTACAGAATTTTAGTTAGAAAACTGGAATGGAAGAGACCATTTGGGAGACATAAGTATAGATGGATAATATGGATGTAGATGTTAAAGAAGCAGGGTATAAGGATGTAGACAGGATTCATTTACCTCACGATAGGGTCCATTGATAGGCTGTTATGAACATGGTAATGAACCATGAATAAGTGAAGTCCATAAATTGTGACAATTGGAGAATATAGAAATTTGTTTTAACCATTACTTGCCATCATCAGAAGGTATAGTCAATGTAATAAATGTGTTTGAACTTAATTTTTCATTAAGGGACTTCTATGAGCATTAGAAATTGAGACTAAATTATGATTGCAGTTAGAATGAGTTGTGCATGCTAAAAGTAATTAGTTAAAATAAATTAAAAGGTGTTGTTTTCTAGCACACAGTACCGTAGTTGGTTGAGGCACTATGCTACAAGCCGGAAGGTCACGGGTTCTAGTCCCAATGAGGACATTGGACTTTTTCAATTGACCTAATCCTTCCAGCTGCACTATGGCTCTGGGGTCGACTCAGCCTCTGTCAGAAATGAGTACCAGGAATATTCTTGGGGGTAAAGGGCGGCCGGGGCGTAGGGCTGACAACCTTGCCGCCATATATGAGCAGATTGTCTAGAAAATGTTGGAGCCTGAACATCTCACAACCCTATGGGTTTCCACAGCCTGTTACAGGAATACCTTTACTTCTTTATTACTTGTTATGTAAGTAGATGAACACAATGATGACCTTCCTTTGGACTGTTGGTTATATAGCATATCTTACAGACTGTTATTTTGTTGGTTTTATATTTGTCTGTGTGCTGTTTTGATGTGTAATTTGGTGAAACAGTGAGACATAAATGCTAGTGCTAGCAAGCAAATAGTGTAATGTTTAATGTGATGCAAGTAAGCTATTAATAATGACTTTCCTGTTTCGTTTTAGGTAGAAAATTCAAATTGTCCATCAGACATTGAATGCTTTAAATTAGGAGATCCATGTATTAAATGTTCCTTCAATGAGTCATGTGTGTATGGAAGTTCTGTGAATGCTACTTGCCATGCTGTAGGAAACTGCACTGTAAGTACTGCTTGCTCTTCTTGCTCATCTTTCGAAGTTGCAGGCAGATTCATGCAGGATTTCATGAACTTGCACAACCTGAGCATCGTTACATGATGTCGAGGTCCATACCGAACATGGCTTATCATGTGTTGACTGCCGACTGTCCTTAAGTCACTTAAACCATTCATAACAACATGTACGGCTCATGCACTGACCGCCATAAATGTTCTTCATCATTTCATATATCTCCGTAAATGTTTCCCCTAGTTTGAAGCAAAATTTAGTGTTAATACGCTGCTTATGAATATCAACCATCTCAAAAATTGCAAGACACACTCTACACACACACACACTTGAATAAACAGGTGTAGGGCCATGGCTAATCACAGCAGGACAATACAGCAAAAAGAATTATAATTAGGAAGCACGCCACTAGGCAGCACAATTTACCTCACATTGCTAAGACGTCGACTCGGCGTGCTATTTCAAAAGTTCCAAAACCTTTTGTCATCCTATCTGAAGACACTGTGTAGTCCCAGTGCTGAAGATCATTGATAAATAGCCCACTAATATTGCCATTTCATATGCTTGTAACATTTTTCCCAGTTTTACCACATTTTGTTGTAAATCTACTGATCATTTAATATAAAATCTAGCAAATGAAAGTGAGTGTACGATGGGGTACCCAAAAGAAACCGAACTAATTTTTTTGTGGGCAGAGCTTTTGTAGTACCGCGTTTTGCCGCTATGAGCGCATAGAGCTAACATTCCTGAGTCGATAAGCCGACTACCGTTGCTTCAGAAGGTAAGGACTAGTTTCGGCAGAGTTTATAGTGACAACTGTTTTGTGTGATCGTCGTTTTTGCAATGGCTGATTTTCGTGAACAGCGTGCGGCGGTGAAATTCTGCTTTTTGCTCGGGAAAAGTGGAACAGAAACTCTTGAAATGTTAAAAACGGCGTACAAGGACGATGCTATGGGGAAAACTCAAGTGTTTGAGTGGTTTTCCCGTTTCAAAAATGGTGAAATGTCAATTGATGACAAACCTCGTTCTGGTCGTCCTTCCACGGCCCGAACACATGAAAATGTTGAAAAAATTCGTGAAATCATCAAGGAAGATCGACGACGGACCATTGAAGAAATTGTGGAGCTGTCGGGAGTGATTTGGAGCTCAGCAGCCAGATTTGTGGCAGTCGAGTGACTGGTTTTTCCATCATGACAATGCCCCTGCTCACACAGCCCTGTCTGTATGACAATTCTTGACCAAAAATGGTATGACCCCTGTTCCTCACCCTCCATACTCACCCGACCTTGCCCCGTGCGACTTTTTTTTTTGTTTCCTCGAATGAAAAGAGACATGAAAGGAAAAAACGACGGAGGCGCTGTCAAGCATCTCAAAAGATGAATTTAGACAATGTTTTGAAAAATGGAATAAAAGACTAGACAAGTTTATTAGAGTAAGTGGAGAGTACTTTGAAGGGGATTGAAGGTTTGTGCTTAAAATTTGAATAAATAAGTTCGGTTTCTTTTGGGTACCCCCTCGTAAATGACATAGTCAAACCAAAGTTAGAAAATATACTTACATTTACATACTCTCTTCAGTGCACTTCTTTTCTAGATAAATGCATGTTTGTATTCATGCTGTCCTCACAACTGATATGATTTCCCTGACATCATTGTATAGACTCAAAACTATGAGTAAAAAGCCTCATTAAATAACATATGGAAAGAAGAACATATGAATTCCAATTCTGCATTTCCAGAAAGATGTTTATGTAAAACATGAATAAATTCTGTACATGTCATATAAATTAATTTTGTGGTCCATATTCGGAAAGTTTTTGCTCTTAGGGTATCATGTTAAGTTTTGTTACATATTTTGCAGGGAGAAAAAACCTTTGCGCGCAGTTTGTTGTGTCGATACTGTTATCAGACGGAAAACTGGGAACACGTGTGTGCGTACAATGCCAAATGCAAGTCCATCTCATCACCTCGAGCATATTACAGGTAACTACAGTATTCAAATTACAAGTTGAACACACATGTAGGCCTGCTTGAATTGAGAAGAATTCTGCATATATTTAACCCTTTTATAGCTATACTAGGGATATCCCATGTCTTCATGTTTGTAGTTTACGTCTCTCATTTTTAAGAGAAGGAATAAGTGTCTGAAAATGTGGAGCTTTTATTTATTTATTTACTAGCTGTACCCGGCCACGCGTTGCTGTGGCTCAGTCTAATGAAATCGACACAGCCTCTGTTGTCTATCACCGGGGAAACGCTGCCAGAGTCGAATCCAAAACTCTGAGTCCAAACTCAGGATCTCTGCTGTGATTTCACTTGGAATCTCTTGTGATACTTGTGACCTCGTGATACTCGAGACACTCGTGATACTGAATAGTCGCCGGAGCTACACTCTCTTATACATATAGCCAGCGTTCGGACGGGATAGGGAATACCTTATCGAAGAGTGAGTTTTATCTGTTGCTTAGGAAATGCTAGCACAGAACACCTTGTACAAGTGTTTGGTTTCATCCGATGTTACGCAACGGAACCTCTCATCTCCGGGGAAACGTGTCTGTTGTTTCGGCAATTCCTATGCAACGGCTCACTGTTATTGCGTTTCCATGGAAGTATACTTTCCGGTTTCATCCATTGTTATGCAACGGAACCTCCTATCCTTTAATCTCCAGGGAAACGCGTTTCTTGTTTCAGCAATTCCTATGCAACTGTTATTTCGTTTCCATGGAAGTATACTTTCCGGATTCATGCGTGGCCGGGTACAGCTAGTAGGTATATAAAAACGCGCATTCGAATGCAATGTTCTATCAAAATTTTGAAGCAATCGGTGAAGAACTTTCGGAGATTTTCGAGGGCTAACAAACGAACATTAACATTTTTATTTATATAGATTTTATCTCTATAGATCATTGTTACATGATATAGGACAAGTCAGTTACTGTACAGCTTCTTTATTACAACCGTCACAACTAATAGCAAGATCAGTGCCTAGTTTTAGCTCTGCTACATGTTTCGGCTATTAATAGCCATCATCAGGCAAATACATAGTTAACATATATACACCACTGAACCACAGTACTAGTAAAATTGGATACAATATTATTAATTATATAAAATACTTGACATAAAATTACAATAAATTAGATTATATAAAACAAAAGTTATAGTATAAAACAAGAATAAAATTCTTCGATTGATGTTTTATATCGAGTCAGTTGTTGGTTTTTTAAATTTTGTTGCGTTCCCACGGACAAATTGGAATATTCTATATTTTGTGTATATATAAAAAAATGTATTGAAGGCTCGTGATGTAGATGTAGTAATATTAATGTTAATTATTTAATAGCCATCATCAGGCAAATACATAGTTAACATATATACACCACTGAACCACAGTACTAGTAAAATTGGATACAATATTATTAATTATATAAAATACTTGACATAAAATTACAATAAATTAGATTATATAAAACAAAAGTTATAGTATAAAACAAGAATAAAATTCTTCGATTGATGTTTTATATCGAGTCAGTTGTTGGTTTTTTAAATTTTGTTGCGTTCCCACGGACAAATTGGAATATTCTATATTTTGTGTATATATAAAAAAAATGTATTGAAGGCTCGTGATGTAGATGTAGTAATATTAATGTTAATTATTTAGTCGGTGCCTCATCTTACAAAGTATTGTCCGTTCTGTAGGGAATGTAAACGATGACTACTGTACATTGGTGGATTACAATAAGAGAGTAAAGTTACAATACTTACAATTGTTTACAATAGATTACAGTAGATTACAATAATTAAGAGTTCATATACTGTGAGGTGGAATCCATATTAGGTCCCCTCGGCAAGTTGGCCTCCATATATCCTATTGTACCTGTACCAGTGATTATCTTTATGGAGAATTTAATGGAATGAGGATTGGCAGGGCAGACTGAAGTACTCGGAGAAAACCTGCCCCAATGCCACTTTGTCCATCACAAATCCCACTTGACTAGACCGCAGCGCTAGGAAGCCAGCGACTAACCGCTTAAGCCAGTGTTTCCCAACCTTTTTGATGCCGTGGACCCCCTGTACCAAATGTTAATTCACCGCAGCCCCCATAAAACCCAAAATGGAATTTTTTAATTTTATGAGTACATATCATAAAAATGAAGCAGTAACTTAAAATTTTACAACACTAAATGTGTCATTTATGACAATAAAATACTGTTATAAATGGAGATATTCAGAAGATTACGAACATATCAATTAGGCGTAATATTATGAATTTAACACTCACCTAATGTGATGGCTGGTGCTGTTTTTCAGACGTCAACTTTCGAATGTCAGGATCAAAACTGGATAATTTCAGACGTAGATCTGGCTCCACGTTAAGTCTGTTCCTATATCTGTTTTTCATGTGTACAAGATGAGAAAATGTTGTCTCGCAGAGATATGTAGTGGGAAATGGCAACAGATGTCTTACAGCCCTTTTGGAAATTTCAGGGTAAACAGACCTAGCTTGGAACCAAAACTCCAGTAATGGTAATGAAGGAAACAGCAATTTGAACGTTGAATCACAGGACAGCTCGATAAGTGGCTCTTCCTCGGCAGAAGGAAGTTCAAATTCAGAGTCTACAAAGGGATTTTTCATCCAGTCGTTATTTTCAAGACCAAACGGAAAATACAGACGTAGTTGAGACGCCAATGACCTCATATGTTCAATCATACTTTCAGCAACATCACTAGAAAGGGGTTGTTCACTGGAATCAATGAAATCACTCAGCATGTGAAAGGAATCGTATTTTCCTTTCTCGATACGGCTGCACCACAAATTTAACTTCTTGATTGTTGCCTCTATCTTGTCTTGCACAGAAAACACGGTG